CGAAGGACTAATTAATAGTCCAAAAATATCTCCAAAAGTGTCAAAACCAACAGATGGCGACGCCACGTTTTGATTTGAATTTCGACTAAACTCAATCGTACACGAGTCACTAAGTTCAAAGTTCTGGGTCGTTAACTGTAAACAAACGTTTACAGTTTAAAATTAACTGGCGAAGGTATCAGACTGTGTTGTCGTTTGTCGATCATAGCAGCGACGAGACATCTATCGGTTTTAGTACTTTTAGAACTATTCCCTAGTAAAAAAACGTATAGAGAACGATAGAATAAAAATAACCATTTTCTATCGTTTTGAATATGGATTTTGGTTCGTAAGTTTACAAAATATGAATAGTATTCTATCGTATACAATAGAATACAATAGATAGTGATAGAATTTCTATCGTTAGTTTCCTATGGAATACAAAATCGGGTATAACCAGATAAAATACGATAGGATTCATATCTGAACTTGCGAGCGTGAACGATACAGTTTAAAGAAAACGATTCAAATTGATAGCGCTATCAATTTGAATCGTTTTCTTTAAGCTGTATCGTTCACGCTCGCAAGTTCAGATATGAATCCTATCGTATTTTATCTGGTTATACCCGATTTTGTATTCCATAGGAAACTAACGATAGAAATTCTATCACTATCTATTGTATTCTATTGTATACGATAGAATACTATTCATATTTTGTAAACTTACGAACCAAAATCCATATTCAAAACGATAGAAAATAGTTCTTTCTATCGTTTTCAATAAATTTTTTTACCAGGGTTGAACCACTAATCGATTCTCCGCATGTGCGAGAATTAAATAGTTGAAATCTGCTCGCCGTAATTTCATAATATGCAAAAATATTGAACATTTTCGAGGTACGGAAAATCAGGCTAAACGTCAATGAACCCTTAGCCACACTATTTGTTTTATGAAAAATAACGCAAATAAGTAAAAAAAACCATTATTATATATTAAGGGTAAAACCATTATTATTATATTAAGGGTTACTTCGCCGATGATCTTGTCCTTCTCTCTCTCTCTCACGTATATTATTAAGGATACAATTCTGAATAACCTTCAAACAGTTTTAATCAGCAGTCATTGTCTATAAAAAGTCATAAACAAAAAAATTCAAGAAACATAAAAGTTAATATTAACGATAAAAGTCTTAATTTGTAATAATAATAGTGAACATGTGTGTATGAGCGAAAAAGAATCTCCCAAAAACTAACCTAATTAACTTGTATTACTTTGATACTGGTATATATCAAGCACACACACACACACACACACACACACACACACACACACACACACACACACACACA